ATACGTTAGAGACTGGTATTTTTTTTCCCTTGAAAATTCCTTTCAGAATTTACTTTGGTTTGATAAGCAACTGGTTCCTTTTGATGAGCTATATACTTTTCTTGTTTTCTTTGAACCTTATCTTATTATCTTAGTTATTTCATTACAATTTGAATTGCCTTTTCTTAGAATAAACTTCCTCTTTAATTCTTTGTCCTTACCAGTCCACACAGTGAGTTTGCGTAAAAAAAGGTGGCAAGTATTAATTCTAAAAGTGGAAAACCATAATCACAACCGCACAAAGATATAGTCATATTTATAGATTTTTAACCCCGATGTAATCTCCTTTAAATACTTTTCTACCTTGCAATGCTCTCCAAACTGATCGGGTTGCTATCCCGAACTTCACGACCCATTGATTCGAAACGGTGTTCCCAGAATGACGGCGTCCTTAAAGCTGCGCTTAAGTAAGAAGTCCCATTTGTGCGCCAGTCACTGTCACCCTGGAAATAATTTTGTATGCTGTAGAACGGATGTTAAGGCTATTTCTTAACAATATTAGCCCCGAAGACCTTAAGCTTGTACAACCGTCATGTAGACTAGGTCGCTAACAAATGAGAAACAACTCAAGCAAACATAAAAAACATCTCATTTGACTTTGTTCCTTGTACAGTAAGTGCTTTTGACGACTGAATGTGAGTGCCATTTGAAGACGGTAAATAAGCAACTGCATGGTTGCAAGTTTCGCTTCAACTACTTGCGAGGTTGCGCGATATAGACTAAATCAAACTGTTTGTCATTCGTTCATTTTCAAAAGTGTATATACCTAACAGGCATGCGAGTTTCTCAAGTTTCTGTCCTCGCTTCACAACTCCATTTTCATAAGTTGAGTAGTTTTGCTTTTTGCTTTTTAAAAATGAAGAGGCTTTAATCAGTCTCTCTATACATGAAGAGTGCCCGAGATGGAGGGGATGAGGAACTGAGATAAAAACTGGACAACTGTTTGAAGAAGTAAAAAAGAAAAACGCACAGATCACGTAACGAAAACTGTTCAGGCGACTCCAGAATACATTCAGCCAACTAGGCGAAAATATGGAATAAAGTAAAGGAAACTAGTGCGCAGTACTGTAAACTGGCAACCATATAAGTATTGCCTCTGAACAGCAGAAGTGCAAAAAAAAAGACATTAATATAAAACAGCTACAAGATGTCAGCCTAGCGCTTCGCTCACTGCCACGAGTAAGGTCACTTAAAAATACTTAGTACTACGCATATTCATTTCCAATAATAACTCCTCTACTTATTTTTTGCAGGCAAAAAAAAATCTACAATACTGGTAAGACTGAGATGAACAACCTTAATATCAACCAAATTAAAGAAAAAAAAGTTAAATTGCAATGCTGCACTCCAACGCAGCTTTCATTTTCCCTACTTTGTACAGCGCTGCAACTGATCCCCAGACCAAAAACAAGATTAGCCTTGTAAAATCCAGGTAGTGGCAGGGTGACCAGGCGTCATAAAAACATTGCAATTCTTCCGCCTTGTCTTCTAAGACAAAAAATGCGGCTGAAATAAAACTGAGAATGCACTAAAACAAACCCAAATCTCGTTTATCAAATCCTTAAGGAAGAACAATCAGTTAATCGCAAACCACTCCTCTGTTTACATTTAGTTGTATACAAGCAAACCATCCAGATAACGAACGACCTTATTTGTGTTACGTTTAAAGTAATTTGTCAGCCTTTCAAACGCCGGCAACTTGCAAGTAAAAGAAGTGGCAATTGCAATCCTTATTTACATATACTGCAACCTTTCCACCAAAAATTTATGATAACTTACTACACAAGATATAAAAGCATTTCAGGATGCATGGACTGGTTTATATGACGAAAAAGAATGAAACTTTCAAAGAAATAAGCTCACTTTTGTAAACATGTATCCTGAAAGTGGAACATCACCTTTTGCCTTGGCTTCACCAAGAAGTTTTTCTTCCCATACCTGTGGCCTAAAAATATTACTATTTTATTTTGGTAATGTCTCAAAATAATGTTTCTTAGCAGATACAAAGTCAACAAGGATACAGATCTAGGTTTTCACTGCTTTTCTTCCAAAAGAACCAATTCTCTGATAAAACCTCCTTGCTTCTTATGCTGAGAACTAACTTTGCAAAATTATTAAAACCCCTCACACGAAGATATTGGTTTTTGGAACTTTAGTTTCTGCAGCAAAAAACTTTACCCTTTTGGGACATATTTCCCTTCTGGTCGTTTATACATATCAACCGAATATTGCAAATCAAAATCAAAATAGTCCGGATCATCGCGGTGTGGTGGGCGGCTATAGTAAGGTCGGGGTATGTACGACTAAATTTGAAAAACTTGTTCAACAGAGCAAGGATTCCTCTCCAAAAAAAAACAGAGTCGTCAACATTCACTTACGTGCAACTCCGCCTCGTCCTCTGGGTCAATTGTGTAAACTGGAGCTGAAGACTTCCGTGGAGTGCGTTTTGTCACTGTTTTCATCGAATCAGGAAGAATTGACGTTTTTAGCAGCCGTGCTTCAACATCATCAACTTTGGAATCGTAACGAGATTCAATGCCTGCAGTTACAGAAACTGCAGGAGCTGCGTACGGCCCTAAAATGAGCGATGTTCGTCTAAACCTGATTCATTCAAATTTGTAATTTTCACACTGAGAACTCACCAGAATCCAGTGAGCCAGTATTTCTTGTTCCTGCCAGACGGTAGCTTGGAAGTCGTCGGCTTCCGCTGCGCAAGGAAAGCTCTTCAAATGGACTCTGAGATCTACGCAAATGGCGTTGCTGCTCAAGCTGAGAGTCAAAAAATTTTATTTCGTCTTGATTTCTCTCCGCCGTTTTCCGAACCTACAAAAATTGCAGCACTTACAATGAGAATTAATGTTTCATTAACAGTAAAATAATTTTTGGTTCGCAAAGAAATGCTTTTTAAAATAGCGTAGGTTGATAAAATTTAAGGAGTACACCATGACCGGTAGCTTAAAAATTAGTATATAAGTGGTTTTTTGACAGTGCTGTGTACTTTAACCCGCGTATCACAGAAAAAACAGCTGATTGCTCTATTCAAAGTAAATATCTTTGAATACAGTACTACAGCTCTCTTAAGAAACAGTACTGTTTTATAAAAGCAAATCATCTGACCGTTCCATTAAGGCTGGTCCTAAATGGTGTATTTTTTTTCTGAATTCCGCTATCACAAAAATTCTGTCTCAGCTGAAATCTAAATTTGTAATAAATTTTTAGGACTTTTCAACGGCATCAAGTACTTGTTTTAACGTTGCCGACTAAGACAAATTCCGTGGTGTTTATTTAGCAAAAATCTGTCAAAGTATTTCGTCATTTGCAGCACGTCTTTCGCAAAAAATAACGTGCCACCGAAGCGTCATTGTGATAAAGTTTTGAATCATCTCAAAAAGAAAAAATAAATAAATGAATAAACCAAGCTGTTGCGAATAAAAGGTCAGGTCAGAAACCTAAAACATCTGCTTGATTAAGTAAACAGCTTACCTGGTAATAAGAATCTTTAATGGACTCTTGCCAACTTTTCCAAGCCGGTTTACGCTCCTCAATTGCTTCATCTACTACATCAGAAAAATCTATTCTTTTAAAGCGTGGAACAGACAATTTGAACTGGTTGCTGAAAAAATGAATAAATAAATAAATAAGTTCAACATCTTTTTCAGCTCCTTTTTAGCAGATACTTTTCTTGATTAGTCAAAAATGACTTGACGTTCTATTCTTTATAAAATCTACAATTATGTTTTTGAATAAACCAGGGTTTATCAATTGAAATACAGTAATCAATCCAACCTGCTTGCAGTGTACGACAGCAGATCCGGACTGGATGAACGAGACTTAGGGAAACGAGTTCGTACTATTGGCGTGTAAGACGGAAGGTTATCAGCACTCAGTCCCAACTCGTCCCTTGACGGTCGCATTTCAAGAAGTTTTTTGGAATCGTTAATAAGGGCTTGTGATGAAGCACTGAGTTTGAGCTTCCCCGGCTAAAAATGTTTGAAGCCAACTTCAATAAAACATAAAACTTCGAAAAAACGCTTTTACCTCTTGTCATTTAATAAAGTAGAATAAAAAGCTGAACACCTTAATGATGTCTAAAAGGAAGGCTTGCAAAAACCATACCAGTATTTCTGTCACATCTTTATCGGTCACTTTCCTCTCAGAGTTTGAGACTGAAGCTTCCTGACTTTCCGCTGGAAGTTCCGGTCCTTTTTCTGCAAGTGTGTCTTCAGACTGTTCCATTGATGACTGGTTATTTCTCAAGCAAAAGAATTGTCTAAATTAAAAAAATGTGATGCTGATCAGGCAAAATACCTCCTTAAGCTAATACCATTTACAGTGATAGACGGCCGTAATTTTGAAAACTATACGCCTTTGATTTTCTCTGCATGTTGCAAATTTTGTACTTCAAGAGCGGGAAAAGTTTTTAATGGCGATAACAATCAATCAAAAAGAAGCACATAGTCTAAACTTTTGAAGCGACAAAAATGCTTATAAAACAGGAAAAAATAAAGTGTAAAGGAGAAGAAAGGTTATAAGACATTCTGAAGCACTCAATTTTCAGAATCAAATGACCAGTAAAGCAACAAAAACAAAAAAGTCCGTATTTTCAAAGCTCTCTACAAAAATGCAATATGCCGTCTTTACTGTGTAACCACTCTAAATAAAGTTGAGTCTACTTCAGGAAATTAACCGAGCCTTCTATGTGTGATCGCTGATCTTTGCGCAAAAACTATTCAAGAGCAACTGCAGTATGTTACTTTGCTTACCCATGTTTTAAGCTGACAAAAAGAAGCAGAAAATAAACGCGAAAACACTCAAAATCTTTCACAACCTCCTGTTGTCCTCTCCGAAAATGCAACAATTAATACTCTAGAACTTAGACCTGTTTTATTTTCTGATTACTCGCTTGAACTGTCGAATCTCCTCTTCCAATGATCTTAAAATGTTGGTAGGCAATTCGCAAGAAGTGTTCAAAGGAGTGAAAAACTTTTTAACTTGAAAAAATTCAGCATAAATTATGTGACTTTACCGTTTCTGTGAATGTGCTTAAAAATCAAAAAAGAATACTTTCTTATAAGAAGCGGAAAAGAAAGAAACTATAAAAAGTATATAAAACCAATAAATAATCTGCAAGACTACCAAATGAATATAAGAAAATTTACAGAACAGTTTTGTTAAACCATAGAAAATTCAATCGCTCGCAATTCTTCAGTCATTAAAAAAAGAATTTTCACTTATGAAAGACAAATTTTAAAGAACTGTTCATTTTTCTAGCAATCTTCTGAAATTTTAAAAACCTAGTTTTCACAAATTTTCGCTAAACTACAGCCCAAAGAAAAAACCGAAAAGACAGTTGACCTAGGCAGTTAAATGCAGCCTATATATGACGCTGAGTAGCTCCAGCATTGTCGACCAACCTTGCGCCTCCTAATTTTCTAAAAACTTCCTGTATTTCATTTCTGTGCTGAAAATGCCAAATGTCCAAGTGACATTGCAAAAACCGGAGTTATTCATATGCAGATCTGTTTGCTTACTTAAAATTTTCAAAATTTCTCCTCTTTTGTTCATCACTTGTTGAACAGATACAGTGGAAAACAGAAAAATTTTCATTAAAAATAACGTTTACGAAAGAAGAGGCTACAGCAAGAGAAAGCCTTTAAATTTCCCATTGCAAAATAAGTATCTGTGATAGACAGCGAAAACTAAACGCGGAAAAAAATTTAACAAAAAGCTAACAAACAAGAAAAATAAATAAAAAAGAGAAGCAAAGAAAGGCAAGTTAAACGAATAGTTTTGTGAAAATCACCGATTTATTTGGTGAGTCGCTGGAAACAGCTAGGAGTAATGATAGAAAAATGCGAAAAGAATCATCGCTTGATTGCAAAAGACGATAGAGGAATTGTATTGCGGCTGAGTGTAGAGTTACAGGAGGGAAGCAAAGAAAGGCGACTGAAGACAGAGTGATAAAAAGAAGGTGAGGTGGAAGAAAAACTTCAGTGCATAAAATGACTTCAAGCAGATCAAATATTTTTAACCTTTATTTAACCCGCACAATAAATATCCATAAAACAGAAACTGTGTGCAAAAACACCTCCTACCTTTATTTTATTTACCACTTTAAGTCTCGTTAATTTTTTTTTTTTTGCGATTCCAATCTTTTCTATTTTATAGTTCAAAAAAAGTTTATTTTTGACTGCCATAATATTTCGTTTAAACCGCTTTTATTTCAGTTTCGCAATTACAAGAATTTGAACTAAAATTTAATGATTGGCAGTCATATGCTTAAATAACTTTTTTCCAATCAGAATATTAATGTACACCAACGGTGATTAGCAATAACTAAATCTACGATTAATTCAACTTTTTTGACACAAAAAAAATTTTTTTTTTTGCTTACAATTTATACAGATTGGATATAAGCAATAAAAATGCCTTAATGTACAGTCGTAAAACGTAGAAACCAAAGAACTCTTCCCCCTCTATCCCACTGTCTCATTCTCCAGCCCTTTTACTAATTTCAGTCTCAGTAAAACTTTATTTCGTGAACTGTTAATGCGCATAATACTGCCTGCGTATTGACAAAAAATACACACTTTTAGCTTATAGCCGTCAAATTAAAAAATTACTAATTTCAAATTTCTTTTGTCCAAACAAATCTAATTTTCAAAACTTCTTCTACACCACACATTTAATAGAAGTGATTTTTCCGGAATTTTAGTCCGCTTCTTTAAAGTGGATTCATTGACAAATTAAACAACACTTTTATATCGCCTATAGAAACTATCAACCAGCAGTCAAGAAGTTAACTAACTCATTTGCTTAATCCAAAACTAGAAGCCTTACCCAAAAATAGCTAAAACGAACGGCAACGCATGAACCAACAAAGTTCGCCGTTCAAAATTGACAAAAAGAGCGATTCAAAGAAACGTCAAATATATATTACAAACTAATAACATTTATAAATTGTTCTAAGTTACATAATAACTTTTTACTTCTTATTCCGTGTTGCTCTGATAAGATCCACAAAAACATTTTTTTCTTGGCATCAAAATGGAGTACTAATACAAAGTTACTAATATGCCTACCGATAAAGACCTGCTAGAAGTATAGGATAAAAAATGAGAGATGCAGCGTTTATAAATTTGAAAATTGAACGATTTTCGAAAACCAGCACTTTTTCTCTGCACATTCAGTTTTGCGGCATTGCTGCAAAACAGAATGCCAAATTCTTTTACTTTGGAACTGCTCCAACACACAGCTTTTATGATTTGAAAATAAAATTCTTTCTCATATTACTTGACTTAAAGTACTTGACTATATAATAAATGAAGTATACACCAGCTTTTTCTTCTAAAATTAGCTACCATTTGGGTAGTAAATGAAACCAAAGGCTGCTAATAAAAGTCAGATCTTTCAAAAACTAGGAAAAGAGAAAAAATTTGAAACTTTTGATCGTTGCACCTTTTCTAGAATTTTCGCAAAAAGAACGTTAAACCACACTGGGACAAAAAACGCAATAAAATGAGGCTCGAAAATAAGCTACTTTAAAATTACTAACTATCAGCAACTATTTTCCTTCTCTTTTTATCTTATTCAAAGAAAGAATCCCGTTACCTTCTGATGCAGCTTAAAAGACCGAGGATCTACCAGTCGGTTTATATACACTGATTAACCCCACAACGGTACGCGAAGACTCTAGCAAATTTAACTTTAACCACTCTAATCATTTCCATTTCTATGGTATGTCAAGCCATCTACGAACTTAAAGTTAACTGCAGACATCTTGCTCCGTTACCAACTCCATCAAGTCAATGAGTCTTTCAACCCGATGACATCAGTAAAAAAGGTAAAAAAACCATGCAGTACTCAGCGCATTTTGAGAAACTCATTATAAAGTAACGAGAAACGAACGAACAATGAGTAATAAAAGAAGAGAATCGAAACAGTAACATCAAAGTGCTAAGAAAAAAAAGGCGAGCCGAAAAAAATAAACATTGATTTAGTATTTCTATGTATGCGTGTGAATAAAGGTGAAATATAGTACAGAGGGATAAATCTTGATTAAAAATGCGTGGGGTGACCGATATGAGGAAAGATAAGAGTTTAAGCTATCTAAACAACGGTAAAAAAGAACGCAGAAAGACTTGAGCAGCAAAAATGCAGAAAATACCAGGCTGTCAGATTGTGTACGTAGCGCGCTAAGGGTGGCGATGGTAATAGCAATGGCAAATTTCTAATATATCTGTTGAAAATGCTAGGGCTGCTGCTGTTGCTGCCGCTGCCGGTCGGTGAGACTGTTTAGTTCTGTTGTCTTGCACCAAGTACTCATCGCTTTGGTGGTTGCTCTGTGGAGTGTATTTCCAGTGGTGGTGGAGTAAAGCTGTGTAAAATCCAAACACACAAAGCCAAAAGTTTTATATATCTATTATCTTTTCACTGTATAGAGAGCCATTCAGTTTGGCTTTAGCTATGCAGTTTTTGCTGACAAAGAAATGTTAGAAATAAAATGGATATACTGAGGAAAAGTGGACAACAAAAACTTGTTTTGTTCCGTAAACAGTTTTTCTCTTTCTTTTTCTCTTCAGTCGTTATTAACGTCCCAATCATATAGCATTTGCTTCAGCTCTTCTTTTAACCCACATTACTCGTTGCTGTAATTCGATTCTATTCGCTTTACAGTCACCAAATAACGAATAACCTTATATATTCTACACAGTAAATGAAAAACAACGACACAGAGGCCACTTAAAACCAAAAAATTTTTTAATGACAATATATTTTTTCTCTGGACCTCTATGACTGCCTTATCAGACAAACCAGTAGCAATTATATGAAACTTATTTTTTTACTAAACATCTTTGAATCGTATGCTCATCCATGATTAAGTACCGTTTTCACATAGTCTTGCCCTTTTTTT